ATCCCACTTATTTTTTTAAAATTTCTTATTATTTTTTCTCTTTACAGGATGAAGAGTTACGCTCCGCCCTGTCAACCTGTCAAGGCAAGGTGGGCGCGTAGATTTTTACCATCACTGGTAGGTTAATAGTGGTGGGCCTAATTTCTCCTTGATATAGTTGGGTTGCCATATTAACAAGATTAATCAATGAAATACAAGCTCGTGAATATTTCAGTCTAATAATCTGCTTATCTATCTAGTGCCGTAAAATTAAGCCCGATGGACTGTCCCTACTTTCCTAAAAAAATTGACTACGTCTTAATTGTAGTACACGAGTTCTAGGAGGTCAATTTTTCTTTCATTAGACCGTTAAGAGAAGTTACACAATCCCCATGACTTAAATTCGATAATGTACAAGTATTTGTAGTAAAAAAATAAATATTTTACAAGTAATTTTAGTTAAAAATAAATAATAAAATGGAAAGATAAAGAAAATAGATTGCAACATCTCAAGTGCGCACTCTCGACTCCTAACACTATTGTTTACTGTCCAATGCCACACTCTAATCGATCAACATTAATATTTCCCAATTCTCGTCGCCTCACTCATTAACTTCATTTCTTATCACAACACTTCTTATCAATCTCTTGCAATCTCCGACTCCAACCTCTTATCAAGGATGGCAATTTGGGGATGATAGTGTTAACTAAGAAGGATTAAACCCCCTGTCCCGGCTTGGGGACAGGGGTGAAAACAGGGGCGCTATGTGGCACCCCTGTTTATATCCCTATCCCCAAGTCGAGACAGGGAGCACGAATGAACTAAGAATGGAATGGTTGGTAGATTCTCTCTCTCTCTCTATTTCATTTCTTTTTCACTTATTGGTGATCAATATTTTCCTATACTGCACCGTCCAAAGAAATAGTTAGGGGGTCAACTTACTATAAGGCGAATAAATTGAGACTAACGATGCAATTTTCTTAAAAGCGAAAAGAATGAATTGAACGTTCGAGTCACCGACCACACGAATCTGCTATACCTCTGTCTCTGTGGAAGCAGTAAGAACGAGATCTGTTCAATTTCTCAATATTAATGGCGAATCCAAACGGAAAGGTATCAATCACTAACGTCATTTTCGACATGGATGGCCTCTTACTCGGTAAACACCATTATCTATTCATTTTAGTAAGCGTGCGATAATTTGGGCGACAATGGATTGAGTTGATTATTATTATTATTATTTACTGATGAACATTTAACTACGATATTTCCGGGGTTATACACTCGATACTTGATTGATGAGTTGATTGTTTTGCACTGATTAACATTTTAGCCCTACTGTACTGAGCTTTATTGAGTAAAGATTCTGTTTGGTTGAATTATGGTAAAAAAGGAATGATAAACCCCGAGAAAGTCTTGAAATTCGTATGGTTGTCCAAAATGTTTTTATTCTCTTTCCCATTTAAAAAAAAAAAAAACTCCTTTGACATGGTCAAAATTAATTGGATTCAGCTTCTGATTAGGAGTTTTTTGCTAGTTGAATATTTTCAAAATGAGTACGGTATGCACTGACGAAGCCTACTTTGAACTGGAAACATAATGGACTTGATTACTAACCACATTCCTGGATTAACCAGAGTAATAAAAAAAAAAGGAAAAAAAATTCGCTTTGAACAATTTAGAAGAATGTTTTATTGAACAATATGATGGAAAACTAGATGCAATACAGCATAAGTGGGTTGGTGAAAATGCGGGTTTTCTGATATTATTAGCTGAAAAGGAAAAAATTTAAAAGTTGAATGTTCATTTGGGATAGTGTAGAATTGTTTCTAACTTATATCTCATAGCACTTTGTTTGTGTTTGAGTGCTCCTACAATGAGACAACAGTGATATCAAACCTTATCTACAGTTATAAAAGATTAAGGAAAAATGTTTCTGTTTGATTTGATGTCCAATGAAGTATACAGTACTTCTCGAGGTTTGCATTCTTATATAATGTGGATAAGGAAGCAATATGCTGTTTACAGATCATATTGGCGAGCCATAGTTTGCTGCTAAATAAAGAGAATCTCTGTTGTTTACCGTTTGAACTTTGATACACAATTTTTTTTTTCTTTTTTTCTTTTTTTGGGTTATATACCTTCTCCAAACATGTATCAAGCACTTTCACTGGAAGACTATAGTTTCTAGAAGTGAAGTTATAGCATCCATATTAGAATACAGCATGATTGTTCCACCCATGCTGTAAAATTGTGTAAATCATGCATTTACTATTTATTTGAGGGAAATTTAAGTATTTTTTTACTGTTGGTTTAACTTATGTTTTCCTTTCATATGATGGAGATTTTTTTCTTTAATTTGTCCTTTTACCAATTTTTATTTTCTCAATTTGGATGGTGTAGCATGTTTATATAGAGTGAGAGGTGGTACAGTAGTTATAAGCTTGCAGATTAATATGTAGAATTCCAGTTTTTTGATGAATGATCTTGATGTACTTAATAGACCCTCCTCCACTTATCCCATTTTCACATCTTTATATTTATTTTCATTAGTATCCCCATTTTCCGTTTTCTTTGTAATGGAAGGTCTCTGGGGCTTTACCTTATTGATGGATGTTTGTGTCTTTTCAATTTCAGTCTCCGTCCTTGTTTTTTGGAAAATGAGGATGCTATAAAGTGATTTGCTTTAATAGTTGCATAGTTGAAAGCTATGTGGCTAATCAGTAATTAAAGAAACCAAAGCATTATAGTGTTTTTATAATTTTCTTCAGACACAGAGAAGTTTTACACTGAAGTCCAGGAGATTATACTTTCTAGGTACAATAAGACTTTTGATTGGTCTCTTAAGGCTAAAATGATGGGGATGAAGGCAATAGAAGCTGCTCGGGTTTTTGTGGAAGAAACTGGAATTGTTGATTCACTTTCAGCAGAAGATTTTCTTGTAGAAAGAGAGGAAATGCTGCGCAATATGTTCCCAACAAGTGAACTCATGCCAGGTTTGGTGTATTAATGCATGATGTATTATATTCTTAATCATTTTCATTTCTCTGCTTCTTCTCTCTTCTTTCTCTTGCGTCATATATAAATGTGCTTTTGCACATGTTAACTGATAGGAATGCATGTAACGTGTTTGTAATTCCAAACAAGCGTCAATCAACTTTTGGCAAGAATATCATCTGTTGTCAGCAGTTTCTTATGCAGCCCAGAGTTGATTTCAGAAAGAAGTATGGCCATCGTTTATTTTTTTGATGTCAACAGTGGTACTGGATGTTAGTGCACTTGCAGTTGAAATTATTATAGAGTTTTGACTATCGAGTTTATAGTTTTAGCTACAACTTAGTTCTGCAATGGAGACAAGTGTAGGAGCTTTCTATTTTGGATGTGTAGGATATTCTTATGATTGATGTGATGGAACTAGAATCTAGAGATTAACAAATTTTTTAGTTGCACTCAACAAAAAGATGAAACAAAAGAAGAAGAAATGTTTCCTGAATTTTCGTATTAAAATTCTTATTTTCTGCTGTATCTTCTCCAATTTTCTGAATTTTGATGCCCTACTTGCAAATGCATGAATACTAGCTATAGATTAATTGATGTTTTCCTTGAAGTTTCAGTAAAGAAGTAAATTTAGGGATTTCCATATGAATGGTCCTTTCTTTTTTTGACTCTTGTGGATGTACATATGTGAGGCCTTTGTGAAGTTTTTCTTTTATATATATTTTTAATTCTACACGCGTCACTGCTTTCTCTTTTCTTTCCATCTTTTAAAACATAATCTTCTACTTACAGGGGCTGAACGTTTGATTCATCACCTCCATGAAAATGGAATACCAATTTGTGTTGCAACAGGGTATGATGATTGTTTTCTATTTAAATATACGAGATATTTGAGGTTTTGTAGTGTTAACTGTAATTAAATTGTCAAATGAGCAAATTTATTATAATGCATCCTACAGTTCTTATAGAAGGCATTTTCAATTGAAAACCCAAAGACATGGTGAGCTTTTCTCACTGATGCATCATATCGTTCTTGGTGATGATCCTGAAGTTAAACAAGGGAAGCCATCACCAGATATTTTCCTTGCAGCAGCGAAAAGATTTGAGGTACGCTCTAGGTAGCACTTTAGCCTAACAATTACAAAGTGCCAAGGCAATATCAACAATAACTAGTAATTATAGAATCCACATGTATGTGGGATGCATAACAAATTAAACAAAGGTACAATGAGACTTGAACCTAAGACAAAGTCTCAGGATCTCAACCATTAAAACAAGGTTCATTGTCATAATTTTTATTTAGTATTTAGATTTATAAAAGCTTTTTGGTTGCGATCATGAATTTGTTTGTATGCAGGGTGGACCAGTTGATCCACACTCGATTCTTGTTTTTGAAGATGCACCGTCAGGTGTCCTAGCAGCTAAGAATGCTGGCATGTAAGTTTTTGTTTATCATTCTCTTGCCCATACAAGATTTTATGATGATATTTGTCGTGTTCGTATGTGGAACAAGTTGGAAGAGTACAATTTGAATATTTGATTCTGATGAAAACGGATTGGTCTTTTACAAAGAATGATCAGTTAAAAAATGCATAACAAATTTCGATTTTGCTAAATGCCCTTTGATACTAGGAGAAAATTCATGGAAAGTTGCTACTCATATTTCCATATTATAGTCCTGAACTTTGCCTAGATTCCTAATATCGTGATAGAGTTTCCTTGACTTCAAATTATAATCATAATAAAGGAGCGTTAACGCTTTAATGTTCAAGAAGGACGTTTAGGCTTGACTAATAAGATAGAAAGGCTTTTTTCATTAGGACTGACAGGTTTGGAACACTGTGTATACAATATATAAAAAAAAGCTTTTCCTTCCAAATGACAACTACCACTTTATGTTGCAAGTATGTTGCCAAATTAAAGCAGCTCCTGCCCGATCAAGACCAATTATTTGGTGGTAGGCCCACTTAGGTTAGGAGGCATTGTCTTTCTGTTCTTATCAACTTCCAGTGTGCAATCGACATGTCCCTAGCTAGAAGTCAGTCGGATAAGAATCATTGATTCCCTTTGTAGTCAATTTCTTAGTCATTCTTTTTGCTTGGCCGATGCTGCTTTCTAATGTTAAACAAAAACAACTCTAAACAATAGAAAGATAAGGGGAGATCACCTAAGTGAATCGATTGAAGGCACTTAACTTATTTGAACCGAACGCTAGCATTTTAAAGCTAAGCCTATCATAAAAATTAAAATCCTTGATTGACTGGGTTATTTCCAAGTGGAGTCACCATTGACTCTATTTATTATGGTAAATCAGTGTATCAAGATGTCAATATGAGATCTTATATCGATTCAATACTTCTACCTACGAGACTCATAATTAGTTTTTGTCTTGGTAGGTGTATTATTCTACATTTTTTCAAAGGAACATTCATTCATTTATTTCTTCCCCATAGACCATGATGACCAAAACGACAGGAAAATTCAAACCGTGGAAAGGTGAAGGATTGGTGATGGGAATTTAGGAAATTCGGCCAGACCTGATGTCTTCATTATAGGGACGGTATATAAGAAGAACGAAACGAAGTGAGAGGTTAGGGGCAGGGTAAAGAGTTGAGTCAATCTGGCTCGACGATTGGGAGAAGCAAAATGAAATTAGGATTTGGCTGAAAAAGAAGTAAGGATGTGGATACAAGGCCGATAACCATCAATAAAGAAGAATCATTCTTAATCACTTTGAGTCAATGGGGTTCTCTTGCATTATTGCTATCATCTACATATATATGCTTGTCCCACCTTTACGTTTTCTCTTTTCCACCTTTGCTGATGGTTGGTACCCTTGATGATATTTTCATCGAACTTTTTCTATTCTTTATACATAAAGTGCAAATAAGACTTTGTTGTGGGTTAAGCATTAACGATTTTTAATGTTTATCACGCATTTCTGTCAGTCTGTAGCTGAGAGCGCATAAAATTACTTTAATAAGGCTTTAATGTTATTTAGGTGATTCTGTGGTCTGAACACATATTACATTCAGGTCAGTAGTCATGGTTCCAGATTCAAGATTGGATAGCTCATTCCACGAAACTGCCGATCAGGTTCTGAGCTCCCTATTGGATTTTAACCCAGGTGATTGGGGTCTGCCTCCTTTTCAGAATGCAGCGTGCTAATCACACTATTTCTTCTTTGTCCACCATCAAACCCCAGTGAATGAAGTTGTTTTGGAGATGTAATTCATGGTAATTTATTCGCATATGCACTGCATTGATTTTCAAATTACAAGTATAGTTAAGACTGCAAATTGAGCATCCATTAATTATCCATAACTATATTATGGAATATGTGTGAACTTCAGATTATGCAGAAAGAACACTAATTTCTAGAGTCAATGAGATTGTACTATATATTTGCTATTTTTCTCGTGAGCAATCACAATTAGTTGAACATTTTGCTCTCTTGATTTTGTGGTGACTTGGCCTCATGTCATACATAAATGATTGATGGTTTATCATAACTTATGAGAAAACTTTATGAAGAAATCTTGTTAGGTGAGGTTCGATACGCGTCTCCAAATTATTGGATCTACAGTGAAATGAAATATAATTGTTAATTGTTATGATCTTTTTATTATTTAATTATTAAT